GCATGTCTGTGTATTGCACAGGTGTTAGTGAGGAGAGGTACTTTATCTTATTCAAATCATGCTTTCTAGTATTTTTGTTGGTGCACAAGTAATTATAAAAAAAAATCTTTCTGAAATTATTAACGTTCATTTTATGTCAGTTACAGTTATAGGTCTCCTGGGATATGGAGCAACAAAGGCTGTTACCCCCTTTAGGTCAGTTTTGGGAGAAACTACGACAAACTAGAAAATACCCGAAGCAGAAAATATGTATTCAGATAAAAATATGCAAGATTCAGAAAACAATTTCAATGGTTATTCTTTTAATAAAAATATTTTCAAAGTAAATCGGCATTTTTTACCATGTTTTTATTAACTCGCTTTCTTGTCTGTCCGGGTGGAATTTTGTAATTGATTTTAAACTAACTTCCCGATGTGAGCTAGAGACTTGAAATTTTGACCATAGCTCAGAAATGGATGACAATGCATGAAAACGTAAAAAAAGAAGTTCTAGTCTCAAACCTGGGTTCCCGAGGAGGCTTGTATGACTGAACGGGTGGAATTTTGTAATTGATTTTAAACAAACTTCCTGATGAACTAGAGATTTGAAATTTGGCCCATAGCTCACAAGTAGATGGCAATGCATGAAAATATCAAAAAAGAAGTTCTAGTCTCGAACCCGGGCCCCCAATTTCGACAAAGGTCCCCATAACTCCGGAACTTACACGAACAAAGACCTCCTGTCGATAGCATGGGTCGAGTTGCGTCTACGTATACAATTTCGTGGCTGTGGGGTCAAAGAAGGGCCCCCAGGTTACCATTGTTTTTTTATAAACTCGCTTTCTTGTATGTCTGTCTGGGTGGAATTTTTTAATTGATTTTAAACTAACTTCCCGATGGGCTAGAGACTTTAATTTTGGTCTATAGCTCAGAAGTGGATGACAATGCATGAAAATGGTTATAAAAACATGGTATAAAATTTTTTTTTACTAAGAAAATTATTTATTTATTTTTTTGTAATACTTCAAAATGTTTTTTGAAACCTGCATAGACCTACCTTACATTTACCTGATCCATGTTAGAATTTAAGTTTGATATGCTTATACAAGAGAAATACAACAGATTCTGGACACAGTACGCAAAGACTCGAAATGTAGAACAAGTGAGTGGGTAAGTCTTTTAATGTCGCACTATGAAGCCACACGAGGGTTATTAGCGAGGGACTCGTAATTTTGAGCCTCGGTCAAACGATGAAGACTACACCTGAGTTGGTACCCTCTCTCCAAACTACATCTAGCATACGGGAGGACTTTGAGCCTCGACTCATTTAACGTGCATCAGCCCTTTACACGGCGTGTCTTCAGTGGCACAAGGGCTCGAACTCATTACACAACGACCATGAGTTCGTAACCATAACCACAAGGCTACTGCGGCCAGTAATGTAGAAACATAACGGGAACGATATGTCCGGATTTTGAGGCCCTAGTCAAGGTAACACGTCAGGTATTGGAATATCTGTCGCGATAGCCTAGTGGTCATAGTCATGAGCTTGTGGTCGGCGTGTCAAGCCAACACCTGTTGTTCAAGCCGAGTCGGCTGATTTGATTTTTCAAATGAGGTACGCTGCGGCAGCATCCTTCAATCCTTTGTCTGGTTCTTGGTGTTGCAGACTTTGGTTAGCGGTTGGAGGCGTGGCTTCTGCTGTGGAAGACCAATGGGGAGAAAGGTGACTTCTATGAAATTGAACATTCTGATTGGAGGTAGGAAGTGGGCTTTGGAGTGACTGCACGAAAATGGAGTTGAAAAATAAATTTAAGACTAAAGGTAATAAAAAGTTAAAATTTAGAAAAAATATTAAGAATAAAATGGATTTTAATGAGTTAAAATTTAAAAAGTTAATAAAAATAATCTAAACTTTATCTATTAGTGCTTCTGCAAGAAGGCAGGTTTTCTCTTCGTCGGAATTTGCATTTTTAAATTTAGAGAGAAGGTCGAGAAGTTTGGGGTTTCTGTTGACTAGATTAGAAATGATATTAAATAATTCAAAAACTTCAGAGACATTATTCGCTCGATCAGGGAATCCACGGGGCTATCTTTTTGTTCCTTGTTACTACTAGGGGTTTGATTTGAGGTTTCACCACTAACAATATTAGCGAAGGAAATTCCCTCTCTAAGAATATTATTGAAGAATTTTTTCTTTTTTGTGGGATCAACAATAGGGATACCTTTCTTGGGCTTTGGGACATTTTGTATAACATGCCGAGTAAATGGCTTCGAGACGTGGTGTCACAGAAGACCCGCCACGTAGAGGGGGTCGATGCACGTTAAATGTTGAAACTTTGACTTCCCGTTGGCATAGTACGGTAGTTTAGAGATGAGGATGCCAGATCAGGTGTCGTTCTCCTTATTTGATCGTGATTTAAAATTACGAGATTCGTCACCAATTCACTTCGTGTTGCTTTATAATGCGACCTTGATAAAAAGTTAATCTAATAACTAGTTGAATTATGATTCGAACCAACGGCGTAACGACGAATATTAGGGCCCCCTTGCAAAGTCAGGTTTTGAGCCCCAAGCCGGATCTTACAAATGGTACGTACTTGGAATCAGTCAGGCTTTGAACCTCCTAGAGTCCTGCCTCCCCGTAATGCGGAGGTGTACGTTACGCCACTAATTCGAACTCACTATTTGCAAGCCACGTATGTCGCGATCTTAACTATCCCAAGTGAGTGCGAGAGAGTTATATCAATGTCGAAATATAAAGCTACACGATGACTATCCGCGACAGATCTTGTAAATTTGAAAACATCAGTCAAATGACGAGTATGAGACGAGCTGGCACCCCGTCTCCGAACTGTCACACCACACCAGTGGAAGGACGTTGAGCCTGGACAAATTTAACGTATATTGGCCTCCTTTGTACAGAGGGAGGGGCGGGTCTTCGGTGGCAGCAGGACTTGAATCCTTTAATTCCCGAATGAGTATCATGTGATGTGAAGATCATACCCCCCACCCAAAAGAGATTCATCGCAATTAGTCCGTTGTTAAGTTCCAGAAATATCAACTGAAAGAAATCTAGCCTTATATATGCTTAGTTAAATTTTAATTTACATTACAGAAACCCCAGATGTCCCGACATGTTCAAAATATTTAATTTCCACGACAGCTGTTGAGAAAGAACAAGGAAAGATTTCACCGAGAAGAAATTTAAAAGAATATTAATTACTTTAAACGAACAAAACAGAAAACTACCTAATTAAATTAGCATTTCACGTTTCTTTTCATAAATAATATACGCTGCACACACTTAGATAAATATAATTCTTTTCAAGATATCAATCTTTTTTCCCCCCACGACAGGTCCCATTCATCATAACATAGAAACCACTTGCAAGAGTATATAATATGCTTTTTCTTTTCTTTTCTTGTTAAAAAATGTACAATTTGAAGAATTTTCTGAATCCCAAGTAGTAGTTGATGAATAATCAAAAGATTTAAGACGCATGCCAGATGATAATTATAAGGCAGGCATAGCCCTCGGATCTCATAGAAAATCTTCTTCGCTGTCCCCTTATTTGCAAAACGTACTTAATTAGGGCTTTTACAGAAAATAATCTTCGCTTCAGATACCTAATTAAGACGATTAACTTTAATTAAACAGAGTTCCTCAGGGCGTTTCAGGAAAAGGGAAAATTGGCACAGGTGAATGATGAGGGAATTTTTCCTGAGGAAAGCGATCTTTAATTTTCCCTTTCATACAGCACGAGGTCTGCTAATAAAGAAATAGATTCGCATAATGATTATGGAAACCGAAGATTACGCGATTTATCACAAATAGGGATTATAAGCGGGGAAAAGTTTGGGGAGGGTGTATAGAGATATCTCCGCGGTGTGTTTGCTTCGAATAAAATTTGCTTAATACCATACGTTATTGGAATAAATTTGCATTGTTAAGTTTTAACATTGTTCTTTTGCGAATTATTATGAATAAAATTTTTCAAGTATTGGAAAGATATATGTATCTGATGGCACGTAGCAATTTTTCGTAATGAGGGGTTTTAAAATGATGTTAGTATTTTTCAGAGATTTATTGAAATACTAGATGTGAGAATTCATTGTTTGATTAGTAACAGCATTTTTTAAAAATTAATTTTATGTTCACTGAGCGAATTTTAATTACGTGTTTTCTATGTTAATTAATATCATTCGTATCAAGATTTATTCCAATTTTATAATCTGTCAATTGCACAGATTTCATAATAAATCATATTTTTTAGAAAGGATTAACATAAACAAATTAATTGCACATTTTTAAAACATATATACAGCTTTATTAATATGATTATTCATTATTCGTCATTAAATTTTACCCATATAAAAAAACCCTTTAAAAAGTATTGAATTTCCATATTCGCGTGTGTTGCCAAAAGTAAAGAGATATTTTTTTCCTTTTCCCCAATTTTGAGAAACTTTACACACAACTGTAAATATACATATCGATACAATATTCGCTCAAATGTCTAAATATCCTCCAACTACGCGGATAATGTAAACAGATAAATATTTTCAATCAATAATTTATACTTTACAAGATTGAAATCGTTTTATAGAAAAACATTGTCAAACTTAAAACTCTAATAATTTTATACATTGAATTTGTATTTTTTAAAATATTTTATAAACATAAATTTGGCTTGCGATTATAATACCATTTTTCAATTTCTGCTTTTAAATTCTGCTTACCATTTTTCAAATTCTGCTCTCTCCCTATATTAAATATATATACATTTATTTACATATAGAAAAAATAATTCTTCTTATTTTTCAAATTTTCAATCGTTAATAAAATACTTTCTACTTCATCCATTCAAGTTCAAATACATTTTTTAAAACTTGTAGTGGATGACACTTGATGTTAATACAGTTTCTTCAAATATGAATCCATTCATTTAATTAAAACATGAAAAAAGTAACAAACAAAAATAATATTCCTACAGCATATATAGAAACTCGTTCGTTGTTTCCCTGTAGTGCAATGGATAGCACCTTGGATTTCTTATCCAAAGATCGTGGGTTCGAATCACACTTGAGATGGTCTAATTTCTGATAATGTGATTTTTCCCCCTATATTGTTTTATTAGAATAATTAAATTTAATTCATGAATAAATAGTAATAAACAAAAAATAATTCAACAAATATAGAAAGGAAAATCTATTTTGTCACTTAATATTGTGATTCTGTTACAGGACATACTTATATTAATTGCAATTATTTAATAAAAAATAACTAAAATAAAATTTTCTTTGTTGACCTAAGGAGGAACTAATTTTTTTTTTTTACATTACATGTTAGAGCTAAAGGCGTCACACGAGTCTTCTCGAGACCCTAATTCTATTTAAGTGATGCGGGATAAGTGAATCAAAAACTGAGCAATTTTGCGGTTCTATCTCCTGTCTGACAAATGGTACTTGACGCCTGACTTAAGTTAAAAGCATTACTTTAGAAAAAGTATGATAATTCACTTTAAATAAATTAAAATAGAGAATGAATATTGAAATTTAACGTACTAAGCTAGAAAACCTAGAAAAGTTACATGAAAAGTAGCGAAAAACTAGAGAATTTAGAGGGCAGAGCGATGCTCGTCCAATCAGGGCTCAATGTTTTAATTTAAGGTAGGACCGCAACAGCCGTGTGATCACAGTCATGAACCCATAGTCGGCATTGTCGTTGGTTCGAATCCTGGTGCCACTGAGGACCCGCCGTGTAAAAAGGGATTGGTGCTAGTTAAACATGTGGAGTCACAAAATCCTCACGTGAATGGGGTTCCACAACTCGGGTGTTCTCGCCACTTCACAGCATGATTCAAAATTACTAGGCCAGCTGCCAGTAGCCCTAGAGTAACTCTTCGAGATGAGACATTAATAAACAATCAATCCATTTAAAGATCTCCGACCTTTTTCCTGTGAACCGGTTAACAGTTGATAATTTTACAGTAGCCTACAGAGGGGAAAGGGACGTTGATGGTTTTGATAATTTTAATTTAATTATATTTAAACATGTCTTCAAAACAAAATACAGCTACAGAGACAAGACATAGGCCAACTGGGCCTGGGCATAGGCCTCGTCTCGTTCCAGCCTTAATAAGATCATGTTTCGCATGATTTTAACGGTCTTTTCAGGTTGTATTCTCCGAAAAGCTAGGAACTTCGGACAATATGTTAATGGTTACATATGATGACCGTCGTTCATCTATAGGCCAAGGCCTACCACCATATACCATTACTCATTCAGTCAAAAGGCAGCAGTCCATCGAGCCGATTTGTGCAATTGTAAGTCATGCACATTTATTTGTTTCGGGTTATTATTTGTACGAGTATTTGACAATGTATGCTATGTACTGTTTTCTTATAAAAATCATATTTTGGGCCTACATCATATAAATCATATTTGGGCCTGTAAAAGGGTCCCAGGGCCTCAAGGTATTTTAAGACGTCCCTGTGTACAGCTACACCAAAAAATGAATATAAAGTGATTTAAAACTAGAATGCTAAATCAACGAGAACTCTGGGCTTGTTTCCTTGCAACGAGGCGGTTCCAACTGGGAGTAATAGGAAACAATGAGACCCGAAGTGTGTTTCTTATGTCTAGTTTATTCCGTTATTTTGTCTTGGTTGCTGTCACTGCAGAAAACCGTGCTTCACACAGATAGATTGTCGGAAATAGCAATAGGGATTTAAGTGCTGTTGTGGCAATCTCAGGGTATTCCGTCATGACTTTAAACCAGAACACTGCCAGAGCTGTTGTCTTGAGGATAGTTAACGCCACCGTCATTTGCAATCTGCAGTAGTTGATCTTCTTGTGGCTGGTGCAGCTTTTGATGACGTCTCTCAGCTCCCGGTTACCTTCTTGACAATGGAAAGTTGCATAAACCCGAGAGAAATACAGCACGGTAATTAAAACAGAAATAATTTAATGTCACCTGGCCGGCCCAGTACCATTTGATCCACGAACTGGGGGTTGGAGACCACTGATTTTTAAAGTATATATACACAAATGGTTCCAATTACTCTATAGAATGAAGCTTTGGTTGAAAGAGAATTCGAACAGCAGTTCAACTTCTAAATTGCCTAGCACGAATATCAATTATTTGACCAAAATAATATGGTGACAATTTTGTTTTTAGAACTGAAATTCGTTAGGTCACTCAATAAAGATGCCTAATATTAAATTTTGAATTTGTTTTCACTTAAAAGAAAATCAGTAACAGATACTATAAAATTAGGATTGCATGACCACTCCCCTCCCTCCCTCTTTTTTTCATAACAAAATTAAAAAATGAAACATTTTTTTTAGAAAAAAATTCCTCACAGATTTCTAAATGTTTCACAAAAAATTATCGAACTAAATATTTTTTGTAAAAAACAGCATGAGTTCTTTACCTCGTCCATTCATATAAAATAATTTTTTTAAAACTCCTAGTGTAGATGGATTTTATAATTTTTACTTTGTACAAAGATGGCTAGGATATTTAAAATAGTAATCCCCCCCCCCTCAATACGACAACTGTAGACAATGGGTCTGTTCCTAGTACCATTTTACAGAATTAAAGATATGTTACATTAAATCCAGTAGCACATAAATGTTCTCTTCAAATATTATCATTATGATCTGACCATAGTCTACAAGTACAAAAGATATCACTGATAGTCCATCCTGTTTGCCTGATAGGAGTTAAAAATCTAAACATAAAATGCAATACAAAATGCTATAATTTATCCTTAATTATGGATATAAATACCCCAAACTTTCCTGAAAGGCAAATCATTCTCACAAAAAATCGCCAACATTAATGTTTTGTTTCCTATTACAAACACTCTTGTTTCTCTGTTCGAAGGTAGAATATAAATTGAAGGAAGCTACACATGAATGCATTTTTCTTTTCTCAACCTATTATATTTTTACCACTCCCACCTTTGAAGTAAATTTTTTTGTAAAATAATTCTTTATTCATAGAAATTTAAGGCCTATTAAAAATATTCAGTACCCTTACTTATTAACTGCAGATCATTTGCACATTTAATGTGATCAAAAAGTGCATTTGCATGATTTTAAATTTCAAAATAGAAGTAATTTAAATCTTGAGAATATAAATTTGTAATTTATCACATTCCTCTTATATAAACACTGTTTACCTTATTGAAAACAGATTTGAGAAAATGAAAAATGCTTTAAAGTTAAATAGCTCTGATATTTTTAAACAAATATAAACCATTTTTAACATGTTCAAGAAAAAAGTGGCACATACCACTCTACTTGATGGGACAAAGCATGATATCCTGAACTGAATTATGGTGTCAATAAAGACACCTTGTAGAGGGGAGCTGATGTACATTAAATCAATCAAGGTTCAAAGTCCTCATGTTAGAAGAGTGTGGAAGTTTGAAGAATGAGGTGCCACAGCTCAAATGTTCTCCTTGTCTTAGGCTCAGAACTAAATCTGTCGTAGTAGCTTCTGAGCTTAAAACAGTGATGTTAATAAAAATTCAATCCATTCTAGGTCGAGACAAGGTGAAATGGTGCAAAATTTTGTACATGAAATGGTATCTGAGCAGTTTAGATGTTGCAGCAAATAACATAAAATATTGAGTTATCCTATGATTAGCTAGATGTCTGCTAACAAGTAACAAATGATAGATTTAAATAGGATTTAATTAAATTTTGACTCCAAAAGTAATCAACAAAATAGATTTAAATCAGTCAGACAATGAAAAAAAAAGGCACGAACAAGCAATAGTTTTCTATTAAAAATATTTGAAAAAGAAAGACAGAGAAAAAATCATGTTTTGAAAAATTTAAAAGGTGTAAGGTCAAGATGTATGAAAAAGACTTCATTTTCATAAGGGAATAGAAATTCAAATAAAAGTGGAAATTATTCTTAATGAGAATGTGAATAGCTAAGATTTCAGCATGAATATAATAATATCAAATCATTAGTTCCATGGATAAGACACAAATGAGATATGGATTTAAAAAATTAACTGCTACTCATTATCATAAACATATTATGCTGATGAATAAAAACAAATACAAATTAAAGATTAATTTTAGAAGGATAAATGTATACAAAGAGAGAGATCAGTGCTTATATCCAATCTTCTTTTACACACATATGTGTACAGTGGTAAAAACCAAAACAATTTTCTTATTTACCTTTGAATTGAAAGTAACATTTCCAGTAACAACTGGTGCACATGTTGAAAAATACTTATAATTACATCATTACAGGAAACTCAGATTATCTTAGAAATAAGACAAACCTTGAACTTGCCTTATAAATACAAAAAAAAAAAAATTTTTTTTCAATGAATCCCTTCACATTTGGATATGAATGGTAACAAAAAAGCAGACTTACTAGCCAAGAGAGGAACACTTGAGCCCCAAGACAACAAATCTCTTCCTTTGGAGTCCCTTAAAAAACATTTTTTGAGAAATTAGTGGATACTCTAACATCTGATCAAGCAGCAAAACCATCAGGCATATTCTGGGCTAACATTCAAGACCCTTGAAAAAAGTTTTTTCAAAAGCCCTGTGGCAAACTTCAAAAAGCAAAAAGGCGATAATTGCATGGCACATCATCTTAATAAAATATGCATCCTTTGGCATATGCCAAATTTGTAATCAGACATCACAAATGCAGAGCATCTTATATGCCCAGAATTAGATAAAGAGTCTCAAAAACGTGGTGAGATACTCAAACTAGAACTTGTAAAGACTATATTTCTTATGTTCTTTTTCTTGTTCAAATTTTTAACTATTTTCTTTGCTCCCACATTAAATTGTCCTGGTTCTTACTTTAAATGTTTGTTCTTTTTTATTACTTATCACTGTTCTTGTGTTATATGTGAGCTGTTTTATATGTTTGGATGAATCCTTCCAATGAAGCCATACATAACATCATTATAGGAAAGCATAACAATTCAAACTTGATTTAGATTTTACTTTTATATACACAATCAAAGTGGGATTCAGGATAGTTAAAACAAAAATTATAAAAACTAAAATATCTTAGATACATTTAAGATACTCAATATCT